TGGCTTGTAAATTGATTTTCTTCTTCTTCTTATTTGCTTTTGTTCTCCTCTCACTTCCATCATCATTGGCATCCTGAAATGCAAAAAGTGATCTAAACACTGTGACTAATTGTCAAAAAGCTACCATGAACTCTGGGGGGGTTTGCACAATAAACTACAATAAACTTTTTTTCTATTAGAAAGATAGAACTTTTTTCAGTAAATTACCATGTCTGAAGGTAGTTAAGGTTAGGCTGAGCTGTCAAGCGCTTCACGCCCAATATGTTTGAGACAATCTCGCCATTATGTACTGTGTATATCTTTTAATTACCATCTCCTCTTCTATTATCAAGGGTACTTTGGTCCTTTTATCAAAGCCATTAATGCCATACACAACAATTTCCAATAGTTCACGGTATCTTTCTGCAGTTTGGAAAAGTCATGTCTATAAACAAAGTTATGGTAGTTTTGTGCAGAAACTTCTAAAGATCATGGTAGTTTGGGGAAGTTTACTCTTAACAAAATCCCTTCACAATGTTTCTGGAACAAATTACAAAAGCATAGTGATCTAAACATTGTGCATAATTATTATCGTGTTTTAAAAATCTAATCCAAGTACCGCCTTTAAAAGGTAATACTCTGTGCTATTATTCTCAGACAGCGAAAAAACTAGATGATATAATTGATTTAATTGAGGATAAAGAGAGAACAAAGAGTAGCATGAAAATATGTGCAAACAGATAGGCTCTTTTTGACATTACTGCAAATGGGTGTCGTAAATTTCAGCCCTTAAAGAATCAAAATGGAGAAGATACCATATGGCTAAATGAAGGAAGTAATAGAACTGTGTATTTTTATCATCCACCTTAGCTACTAAATAACAACATTTTAACCAACAGGACAATTTTCAATTCAACCCTAAGTGTGCATAACTTGAACGATACTTGGTCCAATCTTCCTTTGCTCGAAAATAAAACTAATTTGAAACTATTATGAAATGAATTCCAGCAGTTTAAAAAAGAAATGAGATAACAAACCTCAAGGCTTGCAGGAGGACAGCCTTCAGATTGGCCTTCTCGCTGGATCGACTTCTTGAACTTGTTCACATACTTGGCATTTCTATAGAACTCCCTTTGCTTCTCTGCAACCATAAAGCACTTATAATGTTACCAACAAGCTAAGTCTACTATATTCTTAAGTTTATAAAGCAGCAGATCCTTCCGAAATGCAAATTTAGATTCTCCTATGCATGCAAGTTGCAAAGGACTCATGGAAAAAGCAGCGGCACAGAACAAGAATACCCTAACCCATCCGCCTACAAAAGGCTTTTGGTTTCAGGAAGTTGTTAGGAATTCGAGTTATTTTTAGGTTATAAAAAAATTGGTATTGTGACTGATGAGAGAGAGTTTGAACCTTTTTGCATTTGAAGCCTCGCTGTTTCTGGTTAAGAACTTTTTTCTGGTCACAAGTGGGGTCCAACCATGATTGTGAATGAATAATGAGAGGATGAGCGGAGAGAGGACGGAGGAAGAGGAAGAAGAAAATTGATAGAGGAACTGCTCTTTGAAAAAGCATAGAACATCCTAATACAAATATATAAGGTCAGGTACTCTTGAGTTATCTTCTAATTGTGCTCTATATCACGAATTATTGATAATTGCTACATCTGACTTAAGTCCCCAGACACAAACCAGATGTCTAAAACATCTCCAGACGTTTGTATCGTCCGTCGCTCTGTCCGTAGCAACCAATATGATGTGCTTCCGACAGATTTACACATCTTTTACAGCTTGCCTCAATTCAAGAGCACTCTAAAAGTATTACCTTCATGTGTATTTCATGAAATTGGGAGTGATTACATAATCAAGGCCATGGCTCATCCCCTACAGGCTTCTACAGCCAGCCAAAATGGAATCTGCCCAGTCCATACTCTCCTGTTATGGAGTTTCAGTGGACTAGCAAGATAAAGATCATAATTATATGTTGATTAGCAAGACAAATAAGAAATCAGATTTCATTTAAATGGGTGGACAATGTCAAATAAGCACTGACGATTGAAACTTGAACAGAAACATAGGCTTAACTCACCTAAAATAAATATGAAAAAGAAACATAAAAATGAAACAGAGAAAACTTACTGATGATCGAGGGATTGTAGCCGGTTGCCCTAGATTTTGCGTTGGCGAAGGATTCAAGAGAGAGGGCTTTACCGCCCAATCTCTTCTCATTGTTTTTCTTCTTCTTATTATTATTATTCATCGTCATCGTCTTCGTTAGATCTCGTCTGCTGCTGCTCCCGCCGTTTGCCTCGGTTTCCAAAAATAACGGGTATTTTGTGGGAAAATTATATCCAGACCCCTGTATTTTAAAGACAACTCCTACAATTTTCTACAATTTCCTGCATGAATCAGGGTAAAAGAAATAGGTAAATTTAAAGGAAAAACAAAGGAAAAAAGAAAAAAAATGGGTGAGTACCTCAACTTTGGAGAGCTTTCCTTCGTCTAAAACTTTGATCAGGACGAACAAGCAGGGGTTTCAAAGAGAACCAACATTTTCTACGATTTTTGAACTCAATAATCAAAAACACAAAAATAAAAGAAAAAACAAGGGAAAAAATAAGAGAGAGAGAGAGAGAGAGAGAGAGAGAGAGAGAGAGAGGAGCCGCCAAAAGAACGGGAAGAAGGAAGGGTTTTAGGGTTTTGAAGGGCAGAGGGAGAAGAAGGCCTTGGATTTGGGCTTGGAGCGATGGGCCTCAATAAGACTGTTGGTTTGTTGATTGGAGTATATCAACCGTTGGATCGGGTTATGGACTTATTTTTGCGTTAATTTCACGAAACCCCCTTTGAGCTTCAGAGATTTTGCCCCTAACCTCATGAACATTATTAATCTCACTAAGGCCCCTGAACTTTGGGGTATCTCACGTTACTCATTCTTTTACAATTATCATCCTTTTGAATCTGGATGATCGAGATCAGCTCCTCTATGTGCTTGAATTAGCTAGATATTTATTTTGAAAATGCTAACTTGACTATAAAGGACTGTGTACTACTCTCATATTTGGTGAGATGCGAAAATGTAGGGTGAATTTATTAGTATTCGCTGTAATTTATAAGAGAGGATCCATATTTTTGTGTCTTTCTAGTGCTACTACGATAGTAGTATAACCATGGTAGTCAGTATTCACATTGTTACAAATTTGGGTATGAGTCATGTACTAAGTAAAGAATGGATTTGGTTAAAAACACGAAGTTATTATGTCAGCCAATTATCTTCATAGTGCACACGTAGGGGTGGTATGCTAATCCAAAATAAGTTCACAGCCCAAAATAAACTACCAAAGTATCAATTTTGTGAAGTTTTATCTGATGCAAAATAAAAAAAACTTATAATCATAGGTAAGACAAATTTAAAGATGTTATAAAGAAGTATAAATAGATTGGGACAATTGCTTAGTGTCAGGGAGTTTGAACATGCCCAACCTGAAGTTAATTGGCGTAAAGTAAAATAGAGGCTATGAACTAAATTTAACAAAAAGTTTAAATTACCAATTATTGACTTCAACTCTTAAT